TACTACGTCACATTTGTGCAGATATGTGCACCACGTCATTGCTCTCTCTCTCGCTCTGCTGTGTCCACTGAGCCGTTGGGCCCGCCCTGCAACCTTATTGGATAACGCTGAGCGGGCCATTTGCTAGCTGTCATTGAAATGCGAGGGGCTGAAGCTCATTGGCTAGAACTTGAATTGCTAGGGGGCTAGCCCACATGGGGGGAAATGTAGGGAAAATGGCGTAGCACAGCTTCCAGAAAACAGTCGCTTTCAAACTAGGGATTTCGTGGCTAATTAAGACAGTAATTCTGCTCATCGATTATGCATATATGAACTACACATTGACACATCCAGCTCAAAGCAGGAGGTATAAAAATTACTTTCTTAGTCGCCAAAGTACTGGAGCATGTCTTTAAATGTGGAGTAGGTTGTGTAGAACAGTGGGGGGAAATCTAAATGTAATCCATTGTAAGATTTTGATAGTCAATGTCCGTGCGGATATCTAATTAGCATAATACATAAATCCCCATCAAAATCCGTCTGTTTAAGCTAGTGATCTTTTTTTGCATCCGCCGATGTCGGTCATCCGGTCATCTGCATCTGCGGTGGAAGGTGGCAGAGCTACAGCAGTTTGTCAGACCAGGAGACCTCCCAAAAATCGGTCTTCTAATGAAAATGTCTGCAGAGTCTGAACGGTTTGGACTAGAAACTAGTGACCCCACTATGGAAAGCTGAGACTCTCACGAACATGTACATGTTTTGCTCTACGACGCCCACAAGACTCGTAGAGTCGAAAAATAAATGGAAGTGATTTAAGGCATTTCCATAAAAAATGTATAGGGATCATTCCACGGTAAAGGAGACAGACACTTCTAAACATACTTCCTTTAGATTCATTTTTTGACTATCTGTTTCGCCATGTATGAATGTGTTATTCAATGAGTTTCTATATTGCTAGTAAGGCCAAATTCTATGTTTAATAGAAAATAAAAATAAAGTGATACCTACAGGAGTCCTAAAATTCAAAATCAAATAGCTAAATGATCCATGGTATGACCATTTAAAAACAATTTCATGTTAGCATAGTAGAACCCCCCCAAAAAATTTTTTTTTTGCAAAGAGGTGTGTAGACTTTCACTAGGCACTGTATGTCGGCTCAATCGGAAATTAGCTTTAAATTTCAATCACGCTATAACATGGATTTTCCATGTCCGGATTGAATCTAGCCCTTAGTAATGAACTGCAGAGATTCTTAAATATAGCTTTGGTTAGTCCACATTAAAGCATAAAATATTGTTCCTTCCTTTCCCTGGAAGAGAGACCACCACAGCATTATACTGTGAAACCTTAACATTATCAACCCAGGGATTTAAGGCCTCCAAAATCCCCTTAACATAGACTGTTCTACAAAGCCTGAATACACAGCATTGAATGACAGGAAATTGTTTGTATAAGTATTATCAATAAAATGTATTTTAAATAGTTATTTTCAACACCCAACAATGTAACATGTTGAGAGAGCATAAACATTGAATAGCTGTTGCCAATAAAAAAAGTGAGTTGATAAGATTGTTTTCAGTTACATATTTTCAGTGACATTTTATTAATTCTAGAGTGAGATGTCATAAGAAGAGGCACAGAAAACTCGCTTCAGAGGGAATGTTTTAATGGTAGACCATTTCCACACAACAATGACACAATTAAAAATGTTCATTCGTGTCAACTTCCGCAACAGTTTCTCACAAGGGAAGCAAATACTGAATTTCATCCGCTTGTTTCTCTGCACCCATCTCATCTACCATTCATGAAACACTTTTTCCATGTAAGAAAATACAGCATTTTTCAACTTAATATATTTGGCAAATACAAAAGCAAAACTAGTCTTCCTCCCACAAAGAAACTTTGATTGAAAACCAATTTGATGCCGACATGGATTCCTAGACCTCCAATCCTTTTTTCTACTAAAACAACCCATAATGTTAAGTCTATCCAGCTAAAGGGGGTAGTTACTAATGGAGAGTCCATTTATACAACATTAGGGGAGAAATAACAACTATTTCACTAAGTCACAGTTAAAGAAAGAAATAATAACTTTAAAATATTGTAATTCCGACAGAAAATGTATTTTTTGCATAAACAAAAGTGTCCTAACTCTAATAACAGAGAAATGTAAATGTAAATTGGGTGTAAAAAATTAAACATGAATGACCGTTTAAATACAAGACGGGGCTTTTTGGTGGGTCATTTCTACCCACAAGGTCTATGGAGTAGCCTGGTCTCAGATCTGTTAATGCTCTTGCCAACTAGCCAACAGAAGGCTTTATGAAAAGGACACTGATTAAGATTAGCCGAGGGTGTATTATGCATTTAGCTGTATTTCTGATGACTTTATTAATAAATTATCTTAAATTTTACTTAATCATACATTAAATGTGGTTACTCCTTATCTAACAGGTTAAGAATAGGAACACAGCCTGTAAGCTTCTTTCAGGGACTTTGACTTGTGTGACTCAATAAGCCAAACATACTCCACCCACCTCTCTGGAACAGTGGGACTATTTAAGTCTCCCACATGATCCCACAGTACCATTGTCTTTAACCCAACAGCACTGAACTACTGTAGCACCGATTGCCATTTTAGTTTGTTGATGGCTGACAGTGCCAACATAGACACAGTGAGTAACCCATAGGAAAGTCTGTACTGTACAACCAGACTACTTTAAATCTACCTCCAGGAGTGGAGCTTTAGAAGTGAGCACACAGGCTTATTTCCTGATCAGTGTCATCATGCAATGGTGTCTCTTCCCAAGGACCTCAGTGAGTTTATCACTGCTAAAATGGTAATGCAACAACCATGTCTTGAATACCACGTGCAGAGCTAGTGAGTGAGTTACAATGCAAACAATATGTACCTCAAACCAACTTGTGTAACAATCTGCCATATAACATGTAGCTATGATAAGTGCCCATCTAAAACAGTATCAATGAAATTGTTCAATGTGAGCCAGGGGATGTTGCATTGGAAAGCAACCTCAAACTAGTACAAATCCGTTGGGGTTGAATGGCTTTAAGCTGATCTATCAGCTAGTCTGCTTCCCTTGGCGCTGGTTCTGGACGTTCCAACTGGCTTGGGTTGTTCCACACACCTTGGGCAATACTGAGAGGTAGTGGCAAGGACACTGAGTACTGTGTGGTTTCCTTCCCCACAAACAGTTCTATTGTACCATTTTAAGAGAGACAGTGAACCTAATTTCTCAACCAACAACCATAACCTACAAAAATGCCTTAAGAGCTTTTCTTAACTAAACAGCCTACTACCACCACCATCATTGAGCGGACAGACAATCATTGCTTGTTCGGTCACCTGTGCTACATTACCATTTGACTATACAAGAGAGGGTGAGAGAGACACTAACATGGCATTTAAGTACACAATTGAATAATTAATATAAAAAAAGCAATGTAACAATGGTGAAAATAAGCAAAGGTTAATGATACATTACATATATCCCTCCTCCCAACAAAAGAAAGGTAATTCACTTCACATATCTTTTAGGCACATAAGTCTTAATGGATCCCACTCCTACAGTAGTGTGTGGTGTCAGGAATGCTTTTCACACATAATAAAAGACAAGACAGTGAAGGTGCCATTATGGAGAGTAAGAAGTAGTCTTGGCAGAGGAGAAATGAACTAGGGCCATGTTCATTAGGCACCAAATGTAAGAACACTCAATGAAACAGCTAGGACTACCTGGACATTGTTTTCCAGTGTAAATAGTTGTTTTAGGGCAAAACTTCTTTAAACGTTGCGTGCCCTAATGAACACAACCCTCCTCTGAACACTGAGGAAGGACTTATCAGATGCCTTGTGACCTCAGTGAGTGAGACTTCTGAGAAAGAGATGAAAGAAGCTGATCAGTGAGCACTTGACTTGACTTACATGAAATCCACACAACTTAGAGCAGCATGCCTCGCTTGGGATTGCAGGAACATAAGATGTCCCACAGACTGACTGACTGCAAAACATAACTTCTGACTGACTTAATTCACCCAGACGACTTGACTTCAGTTACTTTTTTGTTCCTCATTTTGTGATTTAATTTTATATATATATTTTTAACTTAAAAGTCTATGTTAACACTAAATCACAATCTAGCCTGGAATACTGCTCAGCAGCTATTTACAGAATTGCTAAAAGAAAACAAAAAAGCAATCTGACTGACTTACACACAATTTCTCACATTCTCCCATTTTTCATATTAGTGGTCCTTTTCAAAAGACAAAACAAAGTTGCTGTAAAGTGTAAACATAAAAAACTATTCTGTTTGTTGTTCATCTGTTTCTCTCTCCTCATGGAATCATAGCTGCTGCTGCGAACTGTACGATCTTTCACCCCATGACCATGCATTTTGTATTCTGACCCATTATTCAGTTCCGCTCAGGTTGTAGTAATGTTACAGCTAGCTTCCGGACCCGGTCAGGTGTGCAGGAACAGGACCTTCCTATTTATTTCAAGTATACACCTTTTTATAAGTCCCTGTTTTCTTCCATGTTCTGGTCCTTTTGGTTCAGGAGAGGGGTGTCCTGTCCTCCCATCTTCCACAGTGAAGACTGGCATTCTGCCTTTGCTTTCCTGCTTGCTTGGAATGAATCTGTTTTTACCTCCATAACCCTATTCATCACCTGTGTGAGGGGAGTTCGAATTAAAACAATTTAAAAAAAGACACTGAATAAATTATCCCCCCCCCCCCCCCCCCCCGCTTTTTTTTAATCCTTCCATCACGTATGCAACAATGAACTTGAGATGTCTGGCCCCAACTTTTTTTTTTAAAGTTAAAGTTAATCTTCTTGTCGTTTCTTTTTTATAACACACAGCAGAATAAACATTGTTTTGGAAGCAAGGTCTTTTGGTGGCAAGTCAAAATGTTCTGTTCAAGAGGTCACATTTCATTTTTTGTTTGTTATATTTTTCACTTGCCTACTGTACTCAACAACCCATCTCAGTCCTGTTTGTCTGGCACCTGCTGCTTCCAGGCCTCATTCAAGTAAACCAGTCGCTTGTAGTTGAGCATAAAAAGAATGAAGTTCAGTGCATATGTGGTGATGCAGATGATGCAGAAGTCCTTGAGGACAAAGTAGAGGATGTAGCCCAGGTAGAGAGAGCCCATCACCGATAGGATGGACGTCGTCATGAGGATCAGGGCAGCCATCGCACTCACAGTGATTCCTGTAACCAACCAGACGAGAGAGAGCAGGGGCTTAGGCTACTGACATGACGTGCACGGCACAGACAAGTACAGTAAGACATGGCTGTGCAAGGCTGGCAGTGAAGAAATATAATCACTTTTACAAACACTACTACATGGAAAAGACAAAAGCAAGAGTCTTGGATAAAAATGGTGGACCTTGTACACTTGAATCAGGGAGGGATAACTTGGGTGCCCTTGTCAGGTGACTTTGTATGCGAGCCAGTCAGCTTTAAGTCTTAACACTTAACTTAAGTACTTATTTATTTGCAGACTCATGCTTGACGATGATTATCATAAATACAGAGATCGGACACCTGGCTGTCTTTCTGATCTTTAAATCTGAGCCCCAAACTGTCGAAAGTAACAAGGGTCTCTGGGAGATAATGGCACCCTATTTCCAATATAGTGCACTACTTTTGACCAGGGCCCATAGGAATCTGGTCAGAAGTAGTACACTATATAGGGAAAAGGGTGCCATTTGGGACTCAGACAGTCAGTGACCCACCACCCATTACATTGGTGGTGGCTTCTGTGCTATGCAGCCCATAGGCCCCTCATTTGTAACCTGGCACTAGTGAGTGACCACCACAAATCTCTGGCTGCACCCTTCTACTGAAAGGTGGAGAGCTTAAGACCAGACCTGGGTTCAAAATACCATTTGAAATCTTCCAAATAATTTGCTGCATTTGCATTTGCTCTAGCCTGTGCCAGATGGGTGGGTTTGCAGTTTTAGGACTTGTCTTGGTCCAATAAGCCAGGAGAGCTCAATCGAACACAGAAAAAGTATTTTAAATTACTTAAAATAGTGTTTGAACCAAGGTCTGCTTAAGAAAGTAAACCACTGAGCCAGATGCATGACAGGATCCTCTGGTTAAAGGAGGAGGAAGGGCAGGTGTTCTAAAGTAGAGGACATTCTAACCAGACATGTTCTGGTTCTGGCACAGGGTTCTATTCATAGTGCTGAAATTATATTAGAGGGGAAAGGGACCAACATAGTGCTCACACATACTGTAACATACTGTACAAGGGCGGGAGTGTTACAGGATAAAGTTAAAGCTATCAGTTTTTAGTTAACAGGGGGAACTGTGTAAATGCCATGTGTGGCAAAAAAGCAGCAAGAATTTGGGGCAACAGAACCCAAAACCAAATGTACAGTAAGCCTTAGGCCATATATTTTGGCCTAAGTCTTCTTAGCTGACTTGATCATGAGAATAAAAACATGAAACGATGTCCAGTGACCACAAGGGGCCATAGATGAAAATGCCCTGTAACTCTTCAAGCTCTTCTTAGGAGAATTTTATAAGCTAACATCAATTCACTACCTTAGTATTTTGTTTGTGATAATACGCAAATGTATGTAGCCATGAAGTGCTTTGAAAGGCTGGTCGTGGCTCACTTCAACACCATTATCCCAGAAACCCACTTAATTTGAATACCGCCCCAACAGATCCATAGATGATGCAATCTCTATTGCACTCCACACTGCCCTTTCCCACCTGGACAAGAGGAACACCTATGTGAGAATGCTATTCATTGACTACAGCTCAGCGTTCAACACCATAGTGCCCTCAAAGCTCATCACTAAGCTAAGGACCCTGGGACTAAACACCTCCCTCCGCAACTGGATCCTGGACTTCCTGACAGGCCGCCCCCAGGGGGTACGGGTAGGTAACAACACATCTGCCAGAGGACTGAGCACGCCCCCATTCTCATCGACGGGGCTGTAGTGGAACAGGTTGAGAGCTTCAAGTTCCTTGGTGTCCACATCACCAACAAACTATCATGGTCCAAACACACCAAGATAGTCATGAAGAGGGAACGACAAAGCCTATTCCCCCTCAGGAGACTTGGCATGGGTCTTCAGATCCTCAAAAGGTTCTACAGCTGCACCATCGAGAGCATCCTGACTGGTTGCATCACTGCCTGGTATGGCAACTGCTCGGCCTCTGACCGCAAGGCACTACAGAGAGTAGTGTGTATGGCCCAGTACATCACTGGGGCCAAGCTTCCTGCCATGCAGGACCTCTATACCAGGCAGTGTCAGAGGAAGGCCCTAAAAATTGTCAAAGACTCCAGCCACCCTAGTCATAGACGGTTCTCTCTGCTACTGCATGGCAAGCGTTACCGGAGCACCAAGTCTAGGTCCAAAAGGCTTATCAACAGCTTCTACCCCCAAGCCATAAGACTCATGAACAGCTAATCATGGCTACCTGGACTATTTGCATTGTCCCCCCACCCCACCCCACCCCCTCTTTTACGCTGCTGCTACTCTGTTTATTATCTATGCATAGTCACTTTAACTCTACCCACATGTACATATTTACATTTACATTTTAGTCATTTAGCAGACGCTCTTATCCAGAGCGACTTACAGTTAGTGAGTGCATACATTATTTTTAGTATTTTTTTTTCATACTGGCCCCCCGTGGGAATCAAACCCACAACCCTGGCGTTGCAAACGCCATGCTCTACCAACTGAGCTACATCCCTGCCGGCCATTCCCTCCCCTACCCTGGACGACGCTGGGCCAATTGTGCGCCGCCCCATGGGTCTCCCGGTCGCGGCCGGCTACGACAGAGCCTGGATTCGAACCAGGATATCTAGTGGCACAGCTAGCACTGCGATGCAGTGCCTTAGACCACTGCGCCACTCGGGAGATTACCTCAACTACCTCGACTAACCTGTGCACCCACACATCGACTCTGTACCGGTACCCCCTGTATATAGCCTCCCTACTGTTATTTTATTTTACTGCTGCTCTTTAATTATTTTTGATTTTTTACTTATCTATTTTTTACTTAACACTTATTTTTCTTAAAACTGCATTGTTGGTTAAGGGCTTGTAAGTAAGCATTTCACTGTAAGGTCTACACCTGTTGTATTCGGCGCATGTGGCAAATAAAATTAGATTTGATATGCAAACCATAATGCAAAATATGCTGATTTTAAAGCTTAGTTACCAAAAACGTTATTAATTCACTTAATCATCTCTCCCTCACATCCAAAGATACTTTCCCCTTTTGTCGGTGTCACGTCTAAAGCCTTCCACAGTTTGGTTAGGCAAACGTGTGCTCTCATACTCCCTTAAAAGACCTTCGCTTAAAAAACTAGAAAAAGCAGCAATAGTACCATTTGTCCATCTTGAGAAGCCGTAGCCAGTATGCACTTCCTCAAAATAGTCAGAATTAATCTAAGATAAATCAAGAACTCTATCATTAATTTTGCCGAGGAGATCTTAGTCGTGCAATTTTACATCTAAGATGTTTGGTTCAGCATTTCTCAAGTGAAAGAATTTGCATGAAAACGATTCGGCTCTCGTTAAATGACATCAAACACTTAATTGAAGAATCCCTACTGTTGACCAATCACCGACGAAGGGGCATAGACTTCGGTTACCGACTTCGGCTTGTTGTGTGCACGAACAGCCAAAATGAACAAAAACGTCATCATAATATATGCACAAACTTTTCCAAACTGTTTCCGGTCGGAAGCATGCGGACGCCTTCAGACGTCTTGTCCCCGGACCCTCACTGAACTCAACTGACTGTGTGGGCATGTGCCTCGTCATGAATGACATCATTACTAGGTTAAAAGAAAATATTGCTACTTCTATGCAAATGTTGTTGATCAGTACAATGAAATAAGTCCCAAATGGAAGGGAAACAGATTGTTTGTCATCTGTAGCCCTGTGAAATCAGTGAATGCATGCACACGCTCCTATTGAATATGCATTCACCTGTACTGTGAATAGGCCTAGGCCAGTGGTCACCAACCTGTCAATTGCGATCGACCTTCAAGACATTCCTAGTCGATCACCAAACATTTCTGTAGAAAAGCCTTGCGCTCCTATTTGTTTTTATTCGTCTTGCGCTGTTGGCGGTACGTGGACTTGATTCAGCTGCCCTGTGTCCCGGCTAGGCAAAGTGTCCCCGTTTTGAACCATTTCATTTGTCTGAAGGGACAAACTCCGCCTACCCGGCAGATCGGAGAGCTAAATCAAGTGTGCCTACTGCGCTGGCCAATTGGATAGCTCAAATCACTGTGCCTGCAGCTGCCTTCCACTACCCCGGGCCCACAGCAAAGTTTCATACTAGCCTACGTGAGATATCATACGTTTTGAAACCATGACCAGAGTGACTCAAAGAGCTGCTGTTTTTACGAGTGAGTTCAGTTTATTCAGCACTGTCATCACTTTTTATTCAACACTTTTACAAAACATAAAACGTGCTTCTCCCTACTTCCGCGCAGTACTGCGGCTTCAATGAACGAGTAGCCAAGGGTATCGATAGGCCTGTGTGCGTTTTTGTTATTTGCGGCTCATCTTGTCTATTTTAATATCAAGAAATCTCTCACTTTCTCTGGTCATAGAAACATGGATTTGTGCATGAGACAGAAATAATTCAATGTGACTCGAGTTTTGACATTAGGTGGAACAGTGTCCAATCTATCTGGTCAGACTCGCCGAAGAAAAGGAGAGAGCAGGGAGACGAACCCGTAAGAGACAGACCCTTTGCTGCTCTCTCCATCTCTCCGCTGAGACTGACCATCAAATGCAGGCGCCATCAGACCAGTAAAATAAAAAAGCAAATGATTTACACTTATGCTCAGCTGTGCCTAATAATACAACAACTGATCTATTGTATCATCATAGCTCGAGGTTTGAAATATAATATGGTCTGAGAAGAACAATATTGGCAGGCCAAGCCAATATGATGTGATAATGTATTAGGCTTACTGCACAAACCTCATTCCTACAGAACTGTTTTTTTTTAGGTTAATGTTGCATAGGCTTACATTTTTTGAAGTCTCTTTTTAATTTTTTAATCTGAGCGGTTGACTCAGAAAAGGTTGGTGACCACTGGCCTAGGCTACATCTTGATTTACCCAGTTTATGAAGAGATTTAGCAGTAGCTGATTTTACCTGCCTGGATCAAGTGCCCTTCTGTGACTTTGACTAATACACCTTTTTTTGTTTCCGGTATCAAGTATCTTGATGATATCGAATGATACTAAACCTGGTATCGAAGTAAAAATTCTGGTATCGTGACAACACTACCTCTAATATACACTCCACTACCTCCACAGTCCTCAGTCCTTATCATCTGAGCCAGGGTGCAGTCAAACCATAGTAAAGAGGGAGTGAAGGCCTGACAGAGTGGTGTGTCAGCACAAATAGCCCTAAGTGACTATCCAAGGAGGCTTGTCACCTAAATTCTCTACATACTTTGAATAGCATGAGCCGGTGGCTGTGGAATCAAAAGTCTTACCTAGTAATAGTTGAAAAAAATAAAATAAAATTCCATAGACACTGTTTGGCTGGTTCATTGCACTGTCGATTCCGAAGATCGAGCCCAACAGTCCAAAGCCTCGACCCCACCTACACAGGGAGATGAATTAGAAAAAAACAAATGGACATTTGTTGGTAATTGTGATGTCGATGAAATGCAGGGACAAATTCACAAATACATGTACTCAACCTAAACAACAAATAGCAATGTACACCAAGGACAATGTCTGAGAAGGTCACGTGATTATTGGGCTAGATCCGGATAAGGTGATAGGTAGCCTAAACAGTGTAATTTACAAGTTATATTCATAAAGATGCTAAGTTAAACAGTGAGGGAGAAAAGTATTTGATCCCCTGCTGATTTTGTACGTTTGCCCACTGACAAAGACTTGATCAGTCTATAATTTTAATGGTAGGTTTATTTGAACAGTGAGAGACAGAATAACAACAAAAAAATCCAGAAAAACGCATGTCAAAAATGTTATAAATTGATTTGCATTTTAATGAGGGAAATAAGTATTTGACCCCTCTGCAAAACATGACTTAGTACTTGGTGGAAAAACCCTTGTTGGCAATCACAGAGGTCAGACGTTTCTTGTAGTTGGCCACCAGGTTTGCACACATCTCAGGAGGGATTTTGTCCAACTCCTCTTTGCAGATCTTCTCCAAGTCATTAAGGTTTCGAGGCTGACGTTTGGCAACTCGAACCTTCAGCTCCCTCTACAGATTTTCTATTGGATTAAGGTCTGGAGACTGGCTAGGCCACTCAAGGAACTTAATGTGCTTCTTCTTGAGCCACTCCTTTGTTGCCTTGGCCGTGTGTTTTGGGTCATTGTCATGCTGGAATAACCATCCACGACCCATTTTCAATGCCATGGCTGAGGGAAGGAGGTTCTCACCCAAGATTTGACGGTACATGGCCCTGTCCATCGTCCCTTTGATGCGGTGAAGTTGTCCCCTTAGTAGAAAAACATCCCCAAAGCATAATGTTTCCACTTCCATGTTTGACGGTGGGGATGGTGTTCTTGGGGTCATAGGCAGCATTCCTCCTCCAAACACGGCGAGTTGAGTTGCCAAAGAGCTTGATTCTGGTCTCATCTGACCACAACACTTTCACCCAGTTCTCCTCTGAATCATTCAGATGTTCATTGGCAAACTTCAGACAGGCATGTATATGTGCTTTCTTGAGCAGGGGGACCTTGCGTGCGCTGCAGGATTTCAGTCCTTCACGGCGTAGTTTTGTTACCAATTGTTTTCTTGGTGACTATGGTCCCAGCTGCCTTGAGATCATTGACAAGATCCTCCCGTGTCGTTCTGGGCTGATTCCTCACCGTTCTCATGATCATTGCAACTCCACGAGGTGAGATCTCGCATGGAGCCCCAGGCCGAGGGAGATTGACAGTTCTTTTGTGTTTCTTCCATTTGCGAATAATCGCACCAACTGTTGTCACCTTCTCACCAAGCTGCTTGGCGATGGTCTTGTAGCCCATTCCAGCCTTGTGTAGGTCTACAATCTTGTCCGTGACATCCTTGGAGAGCTCTTTGGTCTTGGCCATGGTGGAGAGTTTGAAATCTGATTGATTGATTGCTTCTGTGGACAGGTGTCTTTTATACAGGTAACAAGCTGAGATTAGGAGCACTCCTAATCTCAGCTCGTTACCTGTATAAAAGACACCAGGGAGGCAGAAATCTTTCTGATTGAGAGGGGGTCAAATACTTATTTCCCTCATTAAAATGCTAATCAATTTATAACATTTTTGACATGAGTGTTTCTGGATTTTTTTGTTGTTATTCTGTCTCTCACGGTTCAAATAAACCTACCATTAAAATGATAGACTGATCATGTCTTTGTCAGTGGGCAAACGTACAAAATCAGCAGGGGATCAAATACTTGTTTCCCTCACTGTATAACCACTTTGATACAGTAGCTCAATAGGTAGGCTTAACAGTGTCATTTACAAGTTATATTCATAAAAGTAAAAGCAGAATTTCATTAAACCATTGTTCCCTTTGTAAGTGGAAATTCCAGAGGCCTACTGTACGGCTTCAGAAGCAAGATAACCAAGTACCCTGGAAATCTGAGTGGCGCAACAACCACTGGTCCTGGTTTGACATCTCCCCTCCCTGCACTGCCTCCACAGGATCACACCACTGCATTGTTCACAGCAGAATTTAAGCACTGCATTTAGGACCTACACTGAGTGTACTAAACATTAGGAACACCTTTCTAATATTGAGCTGCACCCCCCTTTTGCCCTCAGAACAGCCTCAATTCGTTGAGGCACGGACTCTAAAAAGGTGTCGAAAGCATACCACAGGGATGCTGGCCAGGTAGGGAAATTCACTTTTTGGCCCACCAGCCACTATCGCAGGCAGATTTAAACATCTACTAGCCACTCAGATATTTTACCTGCGGAATTTTTTCTCTCTCGCTATAATTACATCAACATTTATTTACTTTTACGGATGAGCATGCTTTTCTATTTTTCTAAGACAATAAATGTATTAATAGTAAGAAGTAATGGGGCATATTGCTGAATTTCATAAAATTTTTGTGAACTGCGTCTTTTAACCAATGTATGTTACAATAAATAATTTAGATACAATAGTAAAAACAGAAACAATTCTACAACTGAACATCAAGAACCAACAAAGTGCCTACCCTGCCACAAAAGGCTAAGTGATATGGCTTATTTATTATATTTCGGGGCACCACGCTGACATTTTTATTTATTTTTTACAAGGAGTACATGTAAAAACGTAGAAGCACACAAATAAATCTAGGAAAACAACTAAAGTATTTGAGTGTTTTGATAAGAAATTACAAAAAGTTCATGAATAAAAGTCCTTAGGAGTGATCCATGCTCAATCAAGCGCAATCATTAGGTGAGACCAAAAATTTCAGCTGCCCCTTTAAGGGGCGGGCCGTTAGGGAGTGTACGTTATTTATAATAAGGGTCACCTGGAGAAAATCGGACCTCTCTGAAATGAAAATGGATGGCCCTCCCTTCAGCAAAATATATTTTAACTAAACCTCCCCTGAACACTTAAAAGACCTTCCCCTATAGCAAAATAAAAATGTAAACAAAGTGGATAGCAGAGAACATGTCTACCATTTACCAGAGACTTAGATATGCAGTTTTAGAAACTGTTCTTGGTCCTGTAAGGAATGCAGGAATTTTGATAGCCACATGGCTGCGAGCCAGGTTGTGGGTCACGCAGTTCTACGGTATTTTACGTGACTGGAGACCTTAGTATAATATTTTTTAATGCCACAGAAATTAGAGGCTAAGAATGGACAGAGTTGGGCCTATATGTTCATCTTATCATATTTCTCAAATGCCAAATCAGTGTGTCTTGTTTGCAACAAAACTGTCACTGTTTGCAAATAATTAAATCTAAGGCATCATTGTGAATCTGAGCATGGTACTTTCAAAAGTTAAGACTACATTTCCAACCCAGACAGAGTAGGCCTACCAACTCAGACAAATATAAACTTTAACTACTGGCTACTCTTCTCCCGTGGCTTAACCCAACGAGAGAAAGTCACAAGTGTTTCCCTAAAAGCTGTCTTGGTTTAAACATTCTCTATTGTAAAGAAAGTGAATAGCTTTCAGAATTAGATTACTTCCCAAGCTATAGAAGGTTGTAGCTCAGCCTCAATGTCAAAGAAACAAAACAAAGATATCCAAATATGCATTGGAGTCACCACTTTCCCAGGTATTTCACAACTTGTTTCTAGCATAAAGCATTGTGGACCAAAGCGATGTTATAGATCACTTTATATAATCGTTAGATTTACTTCTAAATCGTAAGCTAAAAAAAGGGGTAGGCCTATGCTTTTTGACATTTTCTTTAACATAAGGTAGGCCTATGGCATACCCTCTCAATTCGAGTCCTGGTTTTAACTTAATAGCTCTTCACTGACACAGAGGTAGGCTATTTGAAGACTGCATGGTGGGTGGAGGAATTGGCCGAAATATCGATGGATAGCAGCCTATAGCCTAATTTCGTCTGTCAAACAGGTATGCCTACCTCTTATTTCTTAAATAGGAAGAAATAAGCTCCAACATAAAGCTCTCTTGTTGTTAGTAAAGTCAAAATTAAAATGAAGACTGTTTAAATGAATTATGCCTACTCGAATTTGCCTACTTTCAGCACCATGAGCTGTCCATTTCAGATTGACTGTGCCACGGCTGCTGCTTCAAGTTTCAGCACCAAGTTACTTGAATCTGGCTTATTGTGAGGTCAATAACTCTGATAAATACATCATAGGCAAGAAACATACTGTTTTATTCAAATCAATAATAGTAGTAGCAAGCTATCAAAGTTGTCCTCCTCCTCATATTCGCGCTCTCCTTCTCAAACTGAACAGAGCATATAGGCTAGTCCGTGCGCACGATTAATCATTTTTTGGACTAGGCCTAACCAAAAATTATTTTCAGAAGAAGCTTTTGACTCTTCTCTTGATCTGCCACCATAGGCCTACACAGCGCCGCCATTAGTTAGGCAGTACAAAAAAATGTTTTGATCAGCAAGAGCAGAGCAGCCCAGGGCTAAGGGTTGGAATATGCATTCCAGTGTGTAATGCAGCCTAGTTTTATTTACACAATCCCAGCAGCGCAAAATACTTTAGAAGGAAGTACATTTTCTTAGAAATATAACTTTGCTCTATGCTTCTCCGAGCATGCACTTCGTATCATTTGATTGAGACCACACTAAATAGCCTATAGACACACTTGATATTGCGCACCCAGCGGAGAATCAGAGATGAGTGGCGGCATCGGGCACACATTGATATATAGCCTAGTACGCAACTATGGAAATTTAATCAATTACAAATTACATGACACTCCCCAGGACTAGATTTAATAAATACTAAACCCTCCCCCTGACTGAAAAAGCATGACCCTCCCCCATTTTCCTCCAGGTTCTCATTATGTAAATGTCTAACCATCCATTACCGTGGTAACTTGGGCACTCGCTTGTCCGTGATGAAAAAAATCCCTGACTGGTACATCTTCCTAGAAGCAGACAGTTGCAGCAATCTCAAACTAACATTGAAAAACAACCTAGCGTGTGAACAAAATGATATAACTGGACAAGAAACACGAGGACAAAGTCACACTGCAGTAGCCTTTCTTGTTAATACGACCATCTTCTACATTTACATTTTAGTCATTTAGCAGACGCTCTTATCCAGAGCAATTTACAGTTAGTGCATACATTCTTTTTTCTTTTTCAGACTGGCCCCCCGTGGGAATAGAACCCACAACCCTGGCGTTGCAAACGCCATGCTCTACCAACTGAGCTACATGCCGGCCATTCCCTCCCCTACCCTGGATGACGCTGGGCCAATTGTGCGCCGCCCCATGGGTCTCCCGGTCGCGGCCGGCTACGACAGAGCCTGGATTCGAATCAGGATCTCTAGTTGCACAGCTAGCACTGCGATGCAGTGCCTTAGACCACTGCGCCACTCGGGAGGCACATGTGGCCTTTAGATTTAAAAACAACTGTTCCCAAATGCTCTGTGAGACCACCCGCCAACATGGCTGGTGAAATAGACATTCTTACCCACCAATGACTAAATCTACCCGCATTTGGCGGGTGTTCATTTCCAACCCTGATGCTGACGCATGTCGACTCCAATTCTTAGTCGTATGTATGGGATACACATGGTATACATCGTCCAATGAAATGCTTCCTTGCAGGTTCCTTCTCGACCATGCAACAACAATAAGAAATGATAAAAGATAAGAATTTGAACATAAAATAAATGGCTCAGTAGAAACGAATATACATTTTAGCATATGTATAATACAGGAAGGCACAATTTATAGTCCAATATTTGTACATGTATTGGGGAAGGAGAGGATGGGTGTATAAACTGAGCTGTTTAACAAGTCTGGTAGCAGCAGTTGTGATATGCGAGTTGCTACAACTTGAGTTGCACCCCCTTTTCCCTCAGAACAGCCTCAATTCATCAGACAAGGTGTCAAAAGCGTTCCACGGGGATGCTGGCCCATGTTGACTCCAATGCTTCCCACAGTTGTGTCAAGTTGGCTGGATGTCCTTTGGGTGGTGGACCATTCTTGATAAACACAGGAAACTGTTGAGCGTGAAAAACCCAGCAGCGTTGCAGTTGTTGACACACTCAAACCGGTACGCCTGGTACCTACTACCCCATTCAAAGGCACTTAAATATTTTGTCTTGCTCATTCACCCTCTGAATGGCACACATACACAATCCATGTCTCAATTGTCTCAAGGCTAAAAAATCCTTCTTTAACCTGTCTCCTCCCCTTCATCTGGAATATGGATACCATGGCTTTCAAAGCCCAAGGGAAAATAGCATGACTTGGCATAGTCTTTTTAAGAGGCAGTGTAGGCTACCTGAGTCACTGACGCCTTAAGTTATTACAATGACTTATCCAACAATTCTGACCAAGGTTATTGGCCAAATGTCTTGCAGTCAGACTATAACCATTCTGGCCTAGCAGTTAGGCCTACTTCCCTATAGGGTTCCTGTATACAGTTCACAGACCTGTCACACAGGCCACGAGCATCCAGTCACTACTCTCTGCCATTTAAAAAAACCTCTCCTTGTTGAGACAAAATACTGTAGTCCTACACGATGACACTTCAAAGGGTAGGTTCAGGTTGGTTATTTGCGTGTTATTCAAGGCCGCACATGATGGCTTTTGGCAGGCAGAGTATGGTTGAGAAACTGAATGTCTCAGCAGTGTTGTTCTCATGACTTGTGCACCATGTCTGAAAAACCTCTTCCCTGTATTTCCCCCAGAGACCTGACATTGCCTGGCTGTCAGCATTTGTACACCAAACAGGAGTGTGTATGTCCTATAACCCAGATAGCTACTCACAAATACATTTCCTAAGATCCCTTGGGCACATGAACTAAGTATGACCAACAATCACAGGCTGAACTCTCATGACACAGTTTCACATTAGGACTATAGTTTCATACAACAGAAGACTATTCAACAGTTTCAGACAACAGATGCCCTTATTATGCGACTTCAGCTTTGTCAATATACAATGATTTGTATTTCCCAATATAAGGATTAGGTTGCTCATCTTGTCATTGATATATTACAGCCCTCAGCGAACAATCCAACTAATCGCAATGAGGGCAGAAATGCAAGGCCCATATTTGAGATCGCTATGGAATTATACAAAAGCAGCCTACAGTTTCTAAAATTGTAGTGAGACTTATTAAAATGATATCAGTTTAAGATCTTGGAAAACTTGTTTGAGGTACTCTCCAATTTATTTAATGTGTAGATTAGACAGCTGATTCATACAGCTAAAAAAATGCTACACAGAACTGGCTGAATGGTTACGCCTCTCGTCTAGCTCGCCAATGTTAACTTGCTGCGGGTGGCGCCCTATTCGCTAGCTAGCTAATTTAGCAATCTAATTACATCTAAATATCAGTGTTAAGAAGGTTGGAGAACAAAAGTATACATCCACGCAAATGAAACTACACCACTTCATAACATCTAACAAACAGCCAGCTAGTAGCTAGCTAGTTGTTGGCTGGTGAATAACGTTAGCTAGTAAGTATCGTAGTGTTAGCAATTTGGCTACGATAGCTTCTACACACTAAACAGGCTACGTTTTTTATCAATAGTAAGCGCTGAAATGTTAAATGTACTAAAGAACAGCGCATGCTAAAACATTGACAGTTTAGCACAATGATGCCAAAAAATAACAGCCCAGTCTCATCCAGAGCGCTGCTACTAGTACTCCGCGCCGCTGTTGAATTTAAATTACCTGGAGGTGAAGACTTTTGAACAGCTGATAGAATCGCTCACGTCGCACATGGCCCGATAATTCGAGTCTCTAGCCTTTTCCGTTTCCACATGATAAGCGTATAAAGACAACAATATGCCCAATACGCAAACAAGGAGCCTGGCTATTCTTTCCCATCGAGGGGTAGACACTCTCAGGACGGGCGCCGCCATCTTTCTCCGGCCTCGCTCGAGTCGTACACGCAACGCAACCAATGACGAGACAGCGACGTGGAAAACCGTCAGAACGTGCCACACGACAAGGACAGTCAATATTGATGCCGCGTTCATATACTAGTCGGAACTAGGAAACTCGAAAATGTCAGATTTGCTGATTCCATGAACGCGGCACCTGTATAACTACAACCAGTTAGCGCGTCGGAAATGTGAAAGTTTCCTAGTTCCCAATAATATATAAACGCGGCATTAATACCACAGCGTAAATCCCAATACCCATAAAACCTAGCGGTAAAACCTGGAAATGGTTCCAATCGTTTTTTAACCATTCATTTTTCCATCTGGGATTTTAGAACTACTTCATATAAGGTCTCTGTTTTGTGTAGGCTTAGCCTGGCGTGACGTTTTGATAACTGTGCAAATCTCTCTGGGACAAAGTAACTTTTCTCAATATATTTGCCTGTAATTACCCCCCAAAAATGAAATGCTAATTAGCTGCTAATGTGGCTATCATACAGAACTAACTACACATCCTGTTGCAAACTTTGACGTCATCACCCAAGGCACGATTCTCCATGCAAATTCTCATCGACAAGTAACAAGTAAACTACCAAGTAGATACAGTATTATAGCCTTTTAAGTTTCTCGTTGTAAAATAATTGATAGATTGTATTTCTTGTGTATAGTCTTGTTTAGCATTTTTCAAATTACCTAGTTAACTACCTTGAGCATTTTTAAATTACTAGAATTGTTTTAATTACCCTCTGGCCTTTTGTAGCGAACTAGCTAACCTTAGGTCTCTCCGTCGATCAGAAGGATGGTTCTGTGCTATGTACCAGATTGTAACCACTACTCCAATAAGCAAACATGCATTTTATTGTTTTCCGACCTCTGTAATCGAGAGGCGTCACTGGAGCCATGTGATACGGTAAGCCCTGTTTACTAGCTACTAACAAGCTATTTTGGTTAGGTCAAAGCTCTGTGGTTAGCTAGGTACTTATGAAAATTGGCTAGATAACCACCGACTGTAGTTATGTTTAATGCACGTTACCTACCTTACAAGTAAAAAGAGAACCAGCATAGGCTAGCATAATGACTGTGACCTTTTTATTTACAACTCTTTAGTGAGGTAGCCAGCTATTTAACGTTAACTCATGGTTTGTGTAGTCATACCTTTTCACTTAGTGACATGCTAGCTAGCGTTAGCCCACCAGGGAAGGGATATTTAGTTAACTTTATCTAGTTAACGTTAACTCAACATTTGTGTAGTCAGGCTTGCTAGCTAACATTAGGCCGGCACCATGGCAAGGATAGTTGGTTAGCTAGCATGTCACCACTTAGAAAAACTACACGAACGGTGAGCTAATGTTAACTAGCTAGCTAGCTAAATATGCCTGGTTGGCTAGCTACATTTTACATTTTAGTCATTTAGCAGACGCTCTTATCCAGAGCGACTTACAGTTAGTGAGTGCATACATTTTCATACTGTTAGTTAGGCACCATGGTTGGCTAGTTAACTACAATAGCTAAAGTTGGCTAGCTTGCTCACAAGGGACTTGTGGGCTCAATGTTTTCCCCATACAAAACACAGAAACGGTTTTGTTCCACAAGTGCATCTGTTGTACATGACTAATCAAATTACCCGTGAAGTCCGTTAGAAATGTCAGCAGGGATGGAAATTAAGCAAGCCTGAGGCTAGTACTTTTCAGACTGGGCTAGTAGACAATGTGCCAAATTAGCCTGACACAGCAGTGAAATAGCTAGTTGAAAATGTGCCAAACTAGCCTGACACAGCAGTGAAATTTTGCCTCTACAAACATTGCATGCCACAGATTTAGGACCTGAATGTTACCCGGGCTAGTAGAAATCCTTATGTTCTATCCCTGCATATCAGTCCCTTTCAGACAATCCCCCTACCGCTGTTGGTCCTCCTCAGTGACCTCACAGCTGAGGGTTTTAACTTTCCTCTTGAGAATTAGAATCATAAGTACAGCCCTATAGCTCATCGCAATACTTCACCTCTTCGGACAAATAGTACCCTAGACTGTCTTGATCATCTAGTTGAGCATTCCAGATAATTCCTCAATCCCAGCAGAAATGTCCTATCCACATAGTAGGATTTTAGATGTGCAGATAGTCCAAAGCCCAGTCTATTTGACCATTACTATAGCCAAGTCTGTGGCTTATGGTATTTAAATATAGATGTTACCATTTTAGTAATGTGGTGTCCGAACAACGATGCTGCGATGATGTGTTGATAAGGAATCCGCTGACACTGTACTTTGATTATAAAGGTTTATTATATCAAATATTTCAGCATCAATTTACAGACTCTGCAGAATCTGGAGAGCAATGAAACCAATCCCAAATATGATCACTCTCTCATTCTTTTGTTAAAACATGGTATATATATCCTATGCTTTATGTAACATAAGGTGGCGTGATTTGAATAGACCAATCCCTGGCCTCCACCTAGCCGAATCTCCTCTGTTTTAGGGGGCCCCTATAGTAACACTTTCCAGATGTTTCAGCAAAGTAGAGTAAAGTTCATCTAACCCCCAATATGAAAACCTCAGCCAAAGTTATAGAAGTTTCAGATACTACATATTTCCCCCCTTCGAGACTAATTAAGTCTCGAAAAACAAAAATTATAGGATTATGACAAATAAAATGTTTTATTTCATCAGGCTTCTTGTGTAACTTTATCAATAAAACAAAGTTTATGGAGTGTGAACACATTTTTATGGAGTGTAAGAGCGAAAAACCTGTCTGGCAGCTTTCTTTCCAAATATCCATCAATCAATCAAGACAGAAAAATTCTCTCACGGCCCCTCTGCCCCAGGCAACCACCTAAGTACTCCAGATCAATTTATACATCTTTATCAATGCATTTTAAGCTATGGTGCAATCGAATACACGTGAAAGCCTCAGAAAACAAAATAAAAAATTTAAAAAATCCACATTCAGGCTGGTCGACCCATCGGACCCTCCCGTGGATTCTCTCTGTCCCTGCCTAGACCCAATATCCCTAAGTGTCAAAGAAAAAAGAAAAACATCTGAGGTCCCCACATGTACCCAACAACAGAAAACATCATTCTTCAAAAAAATTATACAGAAAGAATATGACACAAATTATGTATTAAACATGCAAATATGTATATATATCAGTGCAGACACTGGAATGTAGTCCACTACACTGCAGCTCCTCAGCAGTGTCGACTTTCAATGCAACGTCGATGATGGAATCTGAACATTTCCACACCGTCCTTGTTCAGCTTCCTCCAGTCCATTCATATTGTCCATGTTTGAGTATTTGAATCCCACTCTACACATTCGCCATATGCTTCCGGAAGAAAATAAAACACCAACCAGTATCTTTTGCAAAGCAACACATGAAAATTAAAACATCAATATCAAAAATAATATGTGCAAATGCAGAGTAATATCAAAAATATCAAAAATAATATATAAAAATGATATATAAAAATTAATCACATTCCATTTCCCCCTTTGATTCATAAGAAAACACTAAATATCACAACAATATGCAAAGAAATGTGAAAATTATCGCACAATCAGATATTCAAAATAGATATCTATCCATCAATACTCCATCCAGTACCACTTGTTCATCTCCATCTAGATCAGTCACGGTTAACAACGGCATCTGAGTGTTGTCTCCAGGCATCACAACTCCAACCCATCTCAATATCATCCTAGAGTTACTTCAACCCTAGTTTTCGTAACGTTTTGGTCTGACTTTATACCGAACTGGTCTGGGGCTACTTTGTCTAACCGAATCACCGGCTTCTCCTGTAACAGAGTTGCCCTTGGTGATCTCTGCGGTTTCACATTCCACTGAAATATGCCCTGTTGTTTCTGGGACGTATTGAAAATCAATGTCCCCAAATCTCCTTTCCTGTCCATCCATTGCAGAGTGGTGTCTGGCATCATCAGAAGTGTACACATGATCATCAACGTTGTCCACAGCATGGACAATCTCTCCTTCTGGGTTTTGACTCTGGATATTGTCATGCATCTCTCCTTCTGTCTGTTCTTCCCTATCTTCATCCTGCTCTCTTGAGCCTTCAACATCTTGGCTCTCTGCACGTGGCACCTCTTCTCTAGGCGCTTTAACACTGACAAATGATACCACGTTGGAGACCCTTTAACCTGGACAGCCGTTCCAGTACTACGAACAACTTCAAATGGTCCCTCACGGCGTTCGTTATACCACTTCTTTCTAAATACCTTCACGAACACCTTGTCCCCAGGTTGCACTGTACTCCTTTTTTGCTCATCGAGCTTCTCCTGCACCTCTTCTTTTCTTTGCCTGTCAGAAACATATGTGGATAACTTTTTATGAAAATTGGCCATATATGTAACGTACACTCTCATTTCATCTTCCAAAAGAGCCAAACTTGGACCCTTTTCGCTTGTTCGCAAACAAGGCGTAGGCATCCTTCTTCCTGTGACCAGTTCATGGGGTGTCATACGTAGATCACGCAACTCACTTGAGCGACACACCATTAATGCTAAAGGGAGCGCCGCTATCCAGTTTAGACCCGTATGCTGGCAAATCTTGACAATAAGATTTTTCAAAACACCATTCTTTTTTTCACAAATCCCTTGACTTTGTGGGTGATAAACTGCTCCTAGACGTTGCTTAATTCCCAATTTTTGCTAAATCAATTTCACTGATTTATCCACAAATTCTTTCCCATTATCTGAGGATATTCGATCGGGAAGTCCCCACCTGCTTATGACTTCTTTACACAAGAACTTGGCAACCGACTGAGCGTCTTTTCGCTTGGTTGGACAGGCCTCCGGCCATCGTGAAAATCTATCCACAACCACCAGCATGTATCTTTTCTCTTCAACTGGTTTTATCATATCAACAAAGTCGATAACCAACTCATGCATAGGACCTCTCGGTGTTGGAATGTGACCAGGAAGAACAGTCACACCCCTGCGAACATAATTTTTCAGACAGATGC